TTGTTTGTATTGGTCCATTTTATTTTGGTATACATACGTACAGTGAGGATAAGCTATATTTCGTTTGTATATTGTTGCTATAAATGTTTAATGTGGTGACCAGGTGCAGCTGAAAAAAGTATGTGGTTTTGTGCTATGTTTTTAATCTTTGGTTATTGTTCTGGATAAAAACAAGTAAGCGAAACAATCATTTAACTAGTGATAGTTATCCTAAAATAATAATATAAATTCTAGAAATCACTATCTTAAGGGCATTCAGCAAATGAAGAAACATTTTCTCATAAAAATCTATCAAATTTCAGTAAGAACAGCAAGAGTATGTGGTATTTGAGCCATGTGACCTGCTCCCACTCACCTCCCTAACCTCAGCTTAAGGGAAGCTCTAATCTGAATGGCCAGGGCAGGCAGTAGACATCTCTCATACCCTCTAGCTTAGTGTTGCATATGCTCTCTGCTCTCCTCTAGGCTGGTGAAGTCAGCGGCTCTTTTCCCCCACTCAGCCTTTTCTCAGAGTGGAAGTCTATCCCAGGCATGATAGGCTGAGAATGCTGGGGCCAGATTGCTCCAGCCCCAGTTCCTTTATAGGGCAGAGGTTCCATGCCAGGGGAAATAAGTCAGTGTGATTATGGGCTACCATCCTTACCCAGCACCTTGTTCATAGAACACAGATGTCACTTTAAGAGAAGTGGATCACTGTCCCATCCTCCAGTTCCAGTGCAGTAGCTCAGAGGTTCTTCCAAGGGAAAGGGCAGACCTAAAGAACAGAGAACTCCACAATTCTCCCCAAGGGGATTATTTGCAACGGAATTTAGGATAGCTCATGACTAAAGGTATTGAAAACAGTGAAGATCTTTTGTGAACAATTAAGAGGAGGCTGGTAGCTCCATGATATTAGTAGCAACAAGTGAAATAAATGACAAACCTGTTAGAAGTTTAACAGAAAACCGGAAAGAGACACAGCTGTGAGCCTTCCTACGGTTGGAGCAAGTCTCAAACACTGGCAACACTTTGCCTCTGTAAAGGGACCAACTTTTACTGGATTAGGCTATGGAGCAATGTATGCCCCAGGTTGTGGCAAAAACAGTAGAACAGTCAACTAACAATTAGTGAAGGCTAACACCTAGGAGGAATGAAACCAATCATTCCTGATGGATGTGGAACTGTTCATGCTCAAAGCAGCACCCTCCGAAAAGTGATAACAGAACCTACACACTGCTGGTGAAACAGACTTAAGTGAACTAAAGAGGGACATTTTCTAATATTAATATTAAAAGGGCCTGTCCATCAGCAAAACATACTTATGTATGTACCCAACAAACAGAGCCCCAAAATGCATGAAGCAAAATCCAACAGAATCGAAGGTAGGAATAGACAATCGAACAATAATAGTTAGACATGTCAATCCCTGACTTTCAATAATGGAGACAACATTGAGGCAGAGGATTAGCAAAGATGTGGAAAACTTAAAAAAACATTATGAATCAGTTAGACGCAACAGACATCTATAGAACACTCCACCCAACAAAAGCAAAATATTCATTCTTCTCCAGTGTAAGTGGAACATTCTCCAGGATAAACCATATGCTAGGCCATAAAACATAAATTTTAAAGGATTAAAGTCATACATAGTATGTTTTCCATCCGTTTTCCAACGATGGTGAAACGAAATTAGAAATCAATAACAGGAATGTGAGGAATTCACAAATATGTCAGAATTAAATGACATACTTCTAAATAATGAATGGATTAAAAAAAAGAAATCAGAAAATAGTTTGAGGCCAGGTACAGTGACTCATGCCTGTAGTCCCAGGAACTTGGGAGACTGAGACAAGAGGATCACTTGAACCCAATAGTTCAAGGCTACAGTGAGCTATTATTACACCACCACACTCCAGCCTGGGTGACAGAACAAGACACTATCTCAAAAAAAAAGAAAAAAAGAAAAAGTTTGAGATGAATTAAAACAAAAAACATCCCAAAACTTAGGAGATGCAGTTATCAATGCTTAAGAGGCTGCCTATAAATGACTATTTAAAAAGATCTCAAATCAGTACTATAATCCTTCACATTAAGACACTAGAAAAAGAAGAGCAAGCTAAACCCAGCATGAGCAGAAAGACACAAATAATAAAGATTAGAGTAGAAGCAAATGAAACAATATAGGAAAAATGATAGAGAAAATTAAAATCAAAAGTTGATTCTTTGAAAAGATCAACAAAATCGATAAACCTTATCTAGGGCTGATGAGAAAAGAGAAAACTCAAATTAGTAATCATGAATGATATAGGAGAAATCAGAAATAAAAAGGATTGTGTGAGGAGCGCTCTGAACAATTTGTATGCTAACAGCTAATTTAATGAAATAGGCAAATTCCTAGGAAGATACAAAGTACCTAAACTGACATAAGGAGAAGTAGAAAGACTGAATAGGCCTGTGTTGCATGTTGAATTGTGTCCCCCGAGAAAATGTGTTGAGTCCTAACCCCTGGTAACTGAGATACCAGGGGTTCTTATATTTTTATTTATATTTGAAAATATAATAGCTCCCCCTTATCTGAGGGGAAATATATTCCAAGACTTTAAGAGGATGCCCGAAACCACTGATGGTACTGAACCCTATATATACTATGTTTTTCCTGTACGTACATACCTATGATAAAGTTTAATTTATAAATTAGGCACAGTGAGAGATTATTGTGGGACTAGGTTAGTTGTCTGTGTTGCTTTATATTAGAAGGTAGCCTGAATATTACATTAAAGGAAGTTTAAGTAGAGAGATGTTGTTCAGTGTCTGACATAAAATGATTGAATGTAGGGCTAAGGAGTTAAGTAGAGTTTATGCCACATAATGTCTGATTTTTAAAAATCACTGAACAATGAAATGGTACCAAAGTATAATACAATTGAGGATTTTATTGGACTTCAGTTGATGCCTGTTTCTAACACCTTTTAGATGTTAAATCAGTGTCAAAATTACATTATTCATTTTTAAATATTAGTAGTTTCTTTAGCCTATAAAAAAGAATGTTGACAGATACAACTATAATAAAGGTTCTTACGGTTTATAAGACTTAAAATATTTTGTTAAAAAAATTTTTAAAGTGCATTTTAATTATTTTTAATGCTATATTTACTAGTGCTTTCTACATGACTTTCTTTGTTTCTACCAAATACAGATTCATTCCTTTAACAAGTTTTTATTTTTACTTATTTACTTATTTTTCTTTTTTTTTTTGGAGATGGGGTTTCATTATGTTGCTTAGGCTGTTCTTGAACTCCTGGGCTCAAGTAATCCTCCTACCTCAGCCTCCCAAGTAGCTGGGATTACAGGCGAGTGCCACTGTGTCCAGCTAAAAAATTTTTAACAAATTATATTGCAAATTTACTGTATCTTATATAGAAATGTTAAAGGATCTTTATTTTAGTTTGAATATGCAAGTGAGTTCTTCATATTAAACTGTTAGTTTGCAATATATAATTGATGTTAAATGTTTCTGCAAAATACATGTTTTGGTTGTGCTCTTGACACAATTGTGATGAGAAATCATAAAAAGCTGACTGCAAATATCAGTGGGTATATTAAAAATCTTTGAGGAAATGATTTGTGCGTTATAACATGCATTCAGTGTGTTTAATTTCTTTGCATTGTGCTGAGACGTGTCCCATTTTCATAGTGCAATTTTAAGTTTTCCATGATGAAAGTAAATGCATGAATTCATATACCGCAGTGATTTGAAGTAAATTATAGGGACTAGAATTTAAAGAACACTTAAAAGATGCACTCTGCTATTCTTTATGTCCTTATTTTCTGTTATTGTAAGATACAAGAGTGGAAGAAGTTCAAATCATTATCAATTTAGTACTCCTGCAGTCTGGAAGCAGATGCTGGGAGTTTCTGGGATGAGTTTAGTGCAGCATATTGGAACTTCTTGGTCAGAGAAATTTTCGATCGACATTTTATATTGCAAAGATGTTCAAGTGTGTGTGTGTGTGTGTATATTTCTTTTGTTTATATATAAACATAAACAAAAGAACTAAAGTGCTTACACTTAGAACATTCATTCTGTTTTTCAGTTCTTTTTTCTAGTGCTGCATATTAATCAATTTTACAACCCACTAAAGGTTTGAGAACCACAGTTTGTAAAAGCAGTAATCTAGGGACAGAATTATGAATCCAAATAAATTTTTTGAGTTTTTTTCCCTAAGGGCCCTTTCAAAATGTTTGTGTTTTGTGTCTGGTGAAAACAAGTCTCATACTAAGAAGGCAAACCTGATCCTCAAATGAGATTTGGGATTTAAAAACAGTTTCTTTTTTTTATTTAAAGAATCATTATGGGCTGAGCACAGTGCCTTATGCCTATAGTCCTAGCATGTAGGGAGACCAAGGCAAGAGGATTGCTTGAGGCCAGAAATTCACGACCAGCCTGAGTAACATAATGAAACCCTGTCTCTACAAAAAATAGAAAAATTAGCTGGGCATGGTGGCTCGCTCCTGTAGTCCCAGCTACTCCACAGGCTGAGGCAGGAGGACTGCTTGAGCCCAGGAGTTTGAGGTTGCAGTGAGCTATGATGATGCACTCTAGCCTTGGTAACAGAGTAAGACTATATCTCAAAAAAAAAAAGGGCATATGTCTACATTGAGTTGCCTGTGAACTACTGTTGTATAGTATAATAGAACCAATATATTTGGTTGCCCAAGGAAATTTTCCCTTTGGTAATGATATAGTTTAATTAGAGTTTATTGTAAATTTTGAACAAAATTCATAATCAAAGAACATGGATAAAATCCACCCAAAGTGTATGTTTATACTCATTTAACTTTTATATTAACATCTTTGTGGAGATACATTTTACCCTGATTTGAAGTTTTAAAATATTTTAATTGTATTAAACTAATTTGTCTTATTTGCTGTTAACATTTGTCTTTGATTATGCATCTGTGCTTTTGATATTGAATGAGAAAAGATTTTTGTACAACTGTTTCACCAAATATTTTTACAGGGACACTTAGTCGGTCTGGATGAACCAGCTTCGGGAGCTGGGCAAGAAGCTCTGCTTAAACAAGAGCAAGCAAAAATCATTCGATTCGAGAGACAAGCAGAAGAATTCCTCAATGCAGTCTTTTATAGAAAAGGTTGGTTTCAGTGAAGAATGACTTAGCATCTGCTTGTCTTGTTTTAATCTGCTTAATTTCAATGTCATTTTAAAAGTTACTCTTAAAAATATTTTTCCTTGTTGATACACTTTATATTTCTCTATATTCCTTTGGTCAAATTAAATTTGGAACAGGGTTAAGGCAACCCCTGTCCCCCCTTTAGGCTCTGAAGTGATGGTTTTAGTTAAATAGTTGAGAGAAGTACTATGAAACTCTGAAAATTATAATATCTCAGTACTTCTGTATTTGCTAGACAGATTTTCTTACCGAGACAAGTTACATTTTAATCACTGATAACTATAAATAAACTGTAAATTTTTGGTAATCCTAACCTGAGATTTAATTAGAGCAGAAATATAGTTATGTCTTAAAATTAGACTTATAAGCATTTTTTTCCTCCACACTGTCACTGAAATTTTTTGTATTGTTAAAATTAGAGAAACTCATTATTATATAATAAACTTTCCCCCTACATTTGAGGTGGCATTAATAGCTTCACCTCTGGCATTTTTTTCAATTTATCTTTCTCCTTGAACTTTTATAAGTTTATTTTACATTTCTTTTGCAGTAAGAAAAGTTCTCCAGTCATAGAGTCTTGAGGTTTAGAATTCTTCATAGAGACATTTACTTCTTTTTGCTATCCACAAAGCATAATTGCCATCAACCAAGACCTTAAGAAAACTTTCTTTTCTGATCCATTCTAGTGAAGAGTCTTTACTTTCAATAAATTCTTCCTAAAAGGATCTGTATTTCTTAGTTACACTTCTCCTCTAGGTCCAAGAGGGAGATTTCCATGATAGGTTCTAAAAAAGTTTCCTATAAACTCCTGATAATTTTGAATATCCTTATTTAACCTTCAGCAGACTCCGTGATTCTGTTTTCTTTAATATTTCTTCATATGTTCTAGTTTACAACTCTCATTCCTCTGAAAATTCTCTTCTTCCCTCTGAAGTTTGAAGGGTTTATTTTGATTGTACACTGGTTAAAAGTCTGATATATGCTGGTTCTAATGGGTTTGTTACAGTTGGATACCAGCTGGGCTTCTACTTAATGTGACCAGTGTTTTCAAAAGGTGGTATGAGGTGAAATGTCACATAAAATTAAGAAATGCACAGATTATTGTTTTTCTGTGGCACTTTTTTTTCCAGTGTCTTCTGTTAGATCCCTAGGCAAAATTAAATCTTTTAGTACATCCTTACTTCTTTTTTAATACCCAGTAGCACCCTCTGACCTAAATCTCCCAGCCAAGTTGCCCATGCTCACCTTATCCTCATAAAGTACCTTGAATTCTAAAATTATGTTCAGAATAGTCATTTTTTTAGTTTTATGAACATTTGTTTTATTAAAATAGTTTACATTTATAGTATAAGTGACTGATTTATCAGTTTATTAACCAAATAAAATATCTTTTCTGCTCCTGTCCTTTAGGATGTATACAGGGTCATTGGTCTTATGTGTTGTTGCAGCAAGCTTCATTATTTAAAAAGAGGAACTCCTCTCCCTGGTTTACCTGGAGGAACTGCTTTCATCCACTCTTTATTTAGGGGGCATTAATGAGGTCAATCATAAGAGGATTGCTACACAGAAATTCTGTCCTGCTTCTCTACTAGTCCCATCCCTTTGGCATAGATAATAACTTTAACATTAAAGTTTTTATAAGCTTTTTTATTTAGAAATTAAATTTTTGGGCATAACCTTTAGGGGAGGGGAATTCTTATCTTGTAATCAGTCTTGATAGATTTCAAGAGATGGGAAGCCTCTGAAATTTTAAGTTATGTTTGTTTATTTGTTTATATACTGGCATGTGAAGCTAGGAAAAAGAACTATTGCTTTGGAATTGAAAGTTCCCTTCCCTTTGCTTTATGTATGACTATTGTTATTTTTAGATGTCTTATTAAATCTCTTGAAAATCTCTCAAAGATGGGCATTAGTACTTTTCAGATTAATACCAGAAGTGTTCAGTATCTAGGGATGTGATGGGCACTTTAGTCTGAAGAGAATATTTTGTTTTTATAAATAATTCAGATGTTTGGATTTGGTCCTCTGTTTCCAAGTATTGCAAATTGTGTATTTTAAGTAATTGAGCGTGCATAAGTTGTATGTGTTTAAGTAGAAACATTTGCAATAAAAGTCGGCTTTTGGGATGTGTACTGTAATAAATTTTAATTTAAGAACAGTATACCTTCTACAGCTGTCATAATCACATTTTTTTTTCAGCTTGCTTTGTGACTTGTATTAGAAAATTTGACACTTTTTCTAAAAGTTAGATTCGCATTTTAAAATATACAGGTGGCTATGATGTAACACGTTTTTCTGTAGTTTTTTGTTGATCTGATTTTTTGCTTTTATTTGATTCAATTGTGTTCCCTTGGGCAGGGTATGTTTATAGATATGTGTTTTAAGTAAGTCAAAGAATGAAATCTGTTTTAAAAACATTCAAAAGATACAGATATTTAAATGGCAGAGATGTCATTCATGTGAAAACACTGAATATGTTTTGTCTCATGATTGTGTTACTCATTCAGGAAAGAGACGAGATATCCTGCAGGCATTTAAAGCTCAAAGATAGAGGTTTATGGTCTTTCTCCTAAAATCTTTGACTCTTTACAGAGCTCTTTTGTCATATTAATTTATTAATACTAGTTAAACACAGACATTTCATAAATTATTTCATGTTGCTTCCTATTTGAAAATATTCCTCTTTTTGTACTATATATTCCCCAACTTTTCAGTAGGAAAAGGATACACTAATATATTAACACTTGGGGGCCAGGCACAGGGGCTCATGCCTGTAATCCGAGCACTCTGGGAGGCCAAGGCAGGAGGATTGCTTGAGCTCAGGAGTTCGAGACCAGCTTGAACAAGAGCAAGACCCCATCTCTACTAAAAATAGAAAATTAGCCAGGCGTGGTGATGTGCGCCTGTACTCCCAGCTACTACTGGGGAGGCTGAGGCAGGAGGGTTGCTTGAACCTAAGAGTTTGAGGTTGCAGTGAGCTGCAGTGACGCCACTGAATTTTTCCTGGGGCAACGGAGCGAGAATCTGTCTCCAAAAAATAAATAAATAAATATAAACTTGTAATTTTATACAATCATTCATGTGGAGATTGTATGCCATGTAGAGGAAAAAATGGATCTTAACTGGAAAGTTAAATGAGTAAATCCAGTGGATAAAGTTATTTAAAAAGCAATGTATGGGAAAGTGTTCATTAAAATATTTGAGGAACCATTATCAGTGATTGTAGCGGCTTCTGAACCTTACCTAATTGAATACCTTTATTCTTAAGTCTCTAGAATATTCATAGTCTCTATGGAGAGAAAACTTAGGGTTATAAATACTTCTTAGTAAGAACTATTATTATTGGTAGAGCAAGCCTCATTAAACTTCAGAGAATTAAATAAATATTCTGACTATGAGCGTCTTCTGATACTGAATATTGTCCCTCAGGAAAAAAAATGTTATGTGTTTAGGAGTCCTGTGAAGTTTTAATGATGTGTTTGTTACTTGTTTTTTGTTTGTTGTGGAGATTTTAGATTTTAGTTAGTCATAAGAGTCAGTTTTTCTTTAACTTATAAATCAACCTCTTAAGTTTCTTACACATCCAAAATACTGTGGGTAAAGTTATTTGCCTTCTATAGCTAATCTTTAAAAGACCAAGGAAACCGAGGTTTTCTAAGAACCATCTTCTAAAGCCTCAGAAGTGTGGTGGGGAGTTAAAGGTCACAAGTAGAACAGTAAGATCAGGGGAAAAGTTTTAATCAAGGCTCTGTCACTAACCATCTTTATAGATTTGTATAGGCCACTTACTCTTTAGATCATATTTCCCTCATTTGTTTTTGTTTTTACAAAAAGGAATGTTTTATGGTGATTGATTTGATTGACCCATTTATTACTCAAATAAATTGAATGCACATTTTTCACCAGGCAAGATTAGGTATGCAAAGGTAAATAAACACAATCTCTGCTCTTGAGAAATTTAGTCTTCCTGATTGACTATTATAGTGTGGTAATTATAGAGACCTGATAATATATTTATGCAAATTATTTTCCTTTCATCTTAACCTTATGTGACCTTCAGGGTCCCTTCCAGTGCTAGAAGTTCTAGGAGTTAATGAGTTTGTGTTGTCTAAACTTAACATTGACTAATAATTGATAACTTAGATGTTTATTTCATTATATCCCTAGCCATTGTGTTAATAGTTGACAGGGTGTATTTAAAGAACTCATGGAGAATATGTGGTCTTAGGCTTTTGAGATTTGGCATTTAAACTCCTAGCCAGGGACTCTAAAATTGTGGTCCCCAGACCAGCAGCATCTAGGAACCTGTTAGAAATGCCAGTTCTTGAGCCCACCCTAGAACCACTCAATCAGAAATTCTGGGGATAGGATCCAAGCAATCTGTTTTTACAAGCCAGCAGAGTGGTTCTGATGAACATTAAAGTGTAAAAACTACTGCCCTAACCTATCATAGGATCTTAAAATAAGTATCTCCTTTTATAATCTTGGTATGCTTTCAATCTTAAATAGGAAGTAAATTAAGCACTCATGAACTCACTGTAACCCATTCTTCAAAAATTGAGGATGAGTTGGCTGAGGAAAAATCTAGGGAAACCTGATGTGATCTATAGATGTAACAGGGGAGTAATTATTTTCGTAAGAGAAAGATTTTGGGATTTCTGTATCAGGTAAGTGATTCATGCCCATAAGATATACTATTTGTTATCCCTTTATTTAATTTCATAATCCTGGGGGGGAAATGTTTAGACATATTTTTATGAAAATTTTCTTTTTTAAAAATCTGTAAGTTAGAGATTAAAAATATAAGTCAAAAGGAGAATACTATTTTTAAGATATTGCATTTTAAGGAAAAGAAAGTGAAATTTTATGTTTACTTGAAAGCTGTCTTCTTTTAGTACATTATCCCACTTTAAATAAATCTTTATTTACAGACAGTCCCTGGGTCTCCGACCCCAATATTCCCCTAGTGGCCCGTGAGATCATGCAGCGAATGATCCAACAATTTGCTGCTGAATATACCTCAAAAAATAGCTCTACTCAGGACCCCAGCCAGCCCAATAGCACAAAGAACCAAAGCCTGCCGAAAGCATCTCCAGTCACCACCTCTCCCACGGCTGCAACTACTCAGAACCCTGTGCTCAGCAAACTTCTCATGGCTGACCAAGACTCACCTCTGGACCTTACTGTCAGAAAGTCTCAGTCAGAACCTAGCGAACAAGGTATGGTTTGATGTCAAGGTCTCCTCTGTCCAATCAGAATACTTAAACTTGGAGAGAAAAAAAGTATTGGCAAGTAGAGCACCAGCAACAATAATAGAATAAAAACTAATGTGATTCTTAAGTTATTTCTGACTATGCCGTAATGGTGAACTATAAATGACGTTGTTACAGCCTATCCATCGTCAGTTTATAGTCATGATTGATGTACTACCCAGGAAAGTCAGGTGATTACAGTTGTCACTGATCTTTAAGTTGCTCGATATTTATATAAGCATTTTACACTTTGCAAAACATTGTCATATCTTTTTTTTTCTTTTAACTCCTATGAAAAAGTAAGTTTTTCCCCTTATCCATTAATGTTCTAGGATTAGCATCTGAGAAGTATGCCTTTATTTGTAAGGTATAAGTTACATACTCTGTAAATTAGATCATAAGAAAAAATATATATTATTTACAATTTAAAAAAAAACTGGGGTTAGAAATAGAGAAAACAGTAGAACACAGTTTAGGTTGTTAAGTGTATTCAGTGTTTTATAAATACATAAACACATCCACTGTATTATGAACTAACCTTAAAGTATTTCCAAAAGGGAATTTGTTGATGAGGACCCTAATTAAGTGAAGAGATTAAGAGGTTATCCATCAGTTTTGTTTAGCGAGTGTTTCTTGCATCTCTGAAAAGTTTATTCTTTTCAATAAATTAAATATTCCTGTTGCTTTGTGATCTCATTTACCTTTAATTTCACAAAGACTGAAGTGAGCATTTCAACTCAGCCATTGTTTGAACCACTGCAAATTGTAAATTGGTGATGTCTTTACTAATGAGATTTTATTGTTGTGGAAATCTCATAAGAGAACACAGAAAGGTTATGAGATACATGGATTTATTGGTGAGAAATACCTGTTTATTTTGGGAAGAAAATAAATTTAATTCTTAAAAGAACTTTCTTGAAAGGACTTTGTTTAGACTAGTTTTCCTTTGCTTATTTCCTATTTCTGTGTGGTGAACAGCAAACAGAATATCTAAGTTCTGAGATCTTTCCTGATAAGATACCTTCTAGTTATCCTGTGCTCACATTGATCATGTATCTTTGTTTAACTTACTTGTAAAATTGTATCTTTTCTTTTTTATTGATTATTTCCTTTACCATAAATTGGTAGTTTTTACTAAAAATCTCTTTGCTCTGAACATTGCATCAAAAGCTTCAGGTTTATATTAGGAGAGTGGCAGCATAGAAGTGTATTTAAAGTATTAATTATGGGGGTTAACATACAATGTTATAGCTAGTGTATACTTAAGAGAGATGTTGTGATGACAGCATGCTCTTACCAAGAGAAATTTGAACTACATGATAGTATTATAGTGTATAAACTTCAAATAAAGCAGAAATTTTTAAATTATATTTCCTTAATGAATCTTGGTGTTTTCAACTACAGTCACGATATTTTTAGTGGTAGACTTAAAATGTTTTGCCTATTTAGTTTAGAAGTTTTTAAACAATACTGTCTTTGGTTGGAAATATTTTAAGCAATACATTTGCCTGTTAGATAGATATCTAATTGGGTTAGATATTTCACAGGATACTTGGTTCTGTAAGATTACAATTATATTTTTAGAACTATTAGTGATTAAAGGACAAAACTGTTTATGAGAGTGGGCTTTTTATGTATAAATTCAGTTGCATATTTATTTCTAACAGCTTGAAATAGGGAGTGTTAGAATGTCCTCAGACATGGTAGGTTTTATCCTGTGGTAACCAGACAGCAAGACCTTTCTGCTGGCCAACTGAAAATTGGAGGCTATGAGTATTATCTTGCTCTGTTAATTTTGGTAGCTTTAAAAGTTGAGTGGCAGCTTTAAAAGTTGTCCAGACTATGAGATGTTTTTTCTAGATATGTCTATAAAGGGAAAAATGTCTTTGAGGGAAAAGTCTTCTAATTTTATGTATCCATAACACGAATTTGTGATTTGGTCTAGCTTCAATAAAAAATGGTTATATTTCTAGGCTCTCATTGGTATCAAGACTGTTTCATCCTTCTTTCCTCAAACTTTGTCCCCCAATTTTTAATACCTTATTAACTGAAAACACCTTGCCTTTATAAATTTCAGCAAATGAATTTTGAATCTCTGCAGATTTTTTCAAAAGATGGAATCCAAATATATAATTTTTTTGCAGATATGTCCAAAAAATAATTAGGACACACCTAAATTATAAACCATTAACAACTGACTCATCTTACACACTATCTTGTTTAGTGTATACATGTAATTTAGCCATATAAACTTATATGTTAAAATAATTTTTGTCTGTCTTAAAATTTTTTGTATCCAACTTTTATGTACTTTTGGAGTTTCAGGTAGATTTTACTCTTAAGGAATTTGGTTTTATAGTTTGTATGCTGTGTGGGACATTAAAAACTCATATGCTTTGATCAGGTAAATTTAGAAAATGAAATCTTAAGAATTCTAGTGTAGGACCTCATGCTATGTAAGCTGCTATTTCTAATATCCCCCTGTATTTTAATATCTTCTGTAGTATGTTTTACCTTTTGCCCCTTTAATAAAATATTTAGCCCTTGGAGATAACTAGATATAACATGCTTTGTTAAATTTTTGTTGCTTCAGGAGGAAAAATATCCTGATTCTATTATTGAATTGATTTCATAACTCAAATATATGACTGGCATATCTGGTCAGTTGATTGAGCCTACTGCTTTTTCATTGAGTCTAGTCGGTTCATTTGCTCCTACTTTTTAATATCCTCAGGTGTTTCTTTGTGTTTCTGCAGACGGTGTACTTGATCTGTCCACTAAGAAAAGTCCATGTGCTGGCGGCACTTCCGTGAGCCATTCTCCAGGCTGCTCCAGTACTCAAGGGAACGGGTAAGGAAAAATATTTGTAGCCTTCCACCATTTTATATAGCTAATTCATCAAAGGTTGATGCCAATCTCCCTTGTACATTTTAAAAATTAACCCTTCAGGCTGGGCACGGTGGCCTATGCCAGTAATCCCAGTGCTTTGGGAAGCCAAGGTGGGAAGATCGCGTAAGGCCAGGAGTTTGAGACCAGCCTATAAAATATTTAAAATATTAAAATCTCTACAACATATTTAAAAAATTAGTCAGGGGTGGTGGCACGCACCTGTAGTCCCAGCTACTTGGGAAGCTGAGCAAGAGGATGGCTTGAGGCCAGGAGTGCAAAATTACAGTGAACTATGATTGGGCCACTGCACTCCAGCCTGAGGAACAGAATGAGACCCTGTCTAATTAATAAACAAATAAATAAATATTAAAATTAACCCTTCAGACTAATAGTCGTATAGGTGGGCCTTTTGTAAGATGACTTTTAGTCCATCAATCAAGTAAAAGTATAACCTGTGCAATGTAGAATTGGCTAGTATAGATTAATTTTCTTTGTTTAGGACAAATAGTAAATAGTCATGAATATGGCAAGAATATTTCTTTGGACTTTTTGTTGTTGTTTGTTTTGGAGAGTGAAACCCAAGCTAAATAATTCTGAAGTTTAGGTGTAAAGGCAGTATTATGTGTGAAGTTGCTGAATGGAAATTAGGGTCCAGTATTTAACTTGGTATCTCTAGTGGGGCTTGTGAGTATTTGTGTTCATTTTTGTTTGTTTTGGTTTGGTTTTGGTTTTGGTTTTGGTTTTTGGCGGTTGATTTGAACTGCAACTTTAACTCTGTGTGGCAGTTCAGAAAGCATAATTGTATGTATTTTTTGTATTTTAATAGACTGGTTGTAGATGTTGATAGATAACCATCTTATGCTGCCAAGACATTTTTACATGCTCAGCTTTGATATTAAAATGAATTCTCTGACTACTTAATTTTATAGTGTAAGAATTATCTAATGCTCCCTGTGTGTTTAGTAACCATTTAGGAAAGTCAGGTATTAAAGAAGATATTTAGATACCACATGCAAAAGGCATTTCCATAAAACTGTGTTGTGACCAAAAATCAAATTTATCTAGATATGAAAAATAACTTGTAAGTGTAAATATTTAGTTTTATTTAACTTTTAGATTATCAATGTGGGGAAGTTATTTAGATGTATATTAAAGGAACAAGTGAATGCTCAGTGGACTAACCATTTCCAACTTAACTCTTAATTACCTTCAAATTGAAGGATTCCTTTACTGACTTCTAAAATGCCCCCACTAAAACTCCACCATTTTCCTTTTTCTCCTCTTCTTTATTCAGCCTAAAAATGACTATTAATTTAATCCATTTTGCCTTGCTTACTAATTTTTAATCCTTTCTTTTCATTATGATTTATACTAGATAAAAGTCACCATGGTCCCAAATCATTGGGTTCCATTTATAGTTGTGTAATTAAGGACACATGTTGGAAAAGCCCACATGTAGTTTGCATAAATAAACCCTTTGCTTAAGATTTGCCCTTAGCTTGACTGCAGGTCCATGTATTATATATGGCTGAAGTTTCTGTGTTTCTCTCTGAATGGAAAGTGTTTTCTAGTTGGTTTTGTTTTATGGAAGACAAATGCACCCAAAGTACTGCCCATCTTTTAGTTGAATATTCAGTGTTATCCTTATTGTGTTGTTATACTGATGACAGCATTCCCTGTAGAGTTTTAGAGAACATAGCTGATTTATCATTATTTCTGCCAAGCTCCACTTTTGTGCCTAGTTAACGTATCTTAGGCATGCTTTGCCAGTTGTCAGTCTTAATATTGATAATCTTCATTGTGAAAATCGAAACCTTATGAATTAACTTTGTATAAGTAGTTGACTTTTTAAACATTATTTTAAAGCTATCCACTTGAAATTTTAAAATAGATATTTGGTATTTCAAAAGAATATTTTAAAAGAAGTTTTTTTAAACAAAGAAAACTGCTACAAAATTGTTTACGTATCTCTGGCAATAATTATTTTCAGTAGAACTTAAGGAACAAAGTTTTAGAGAAAATAAAGGGTAATTTTCTTTTAAGCCTGGATTATTTCAAATGGAGAATCATGATACTCATGTATCTGCAACTAATAGTGTTTTAAAGTGAAAAAGTATGGTAAGTTATAATGCAAGGGGTCTTTTATTTTGGTTTTTTTTTCCTCCCTTGGGCCTGGTAGCTATATATATAAATATTTTTTTTTTTTCTAAGCAAAATAAGAAGTGTTATTTGGAATTGATTTTTTATGATGAACATCAACTTGTTTGTGGGATAAATGAGCGATTATCTGTGGGTTCTACCCGTGTCAGTGGTTCCAGTTTTATAGCTAGTTGTCATGAATGTTGAATACATTGCATTAAAATAAATAATTTGGCTTACTCTTTTATTACTGTACTTGTTTAGTGGTAACGTCACATTGGCAACACAATTCTGTGTAGATCTATGGAGACTGATGATTACTTTGTAATTAATAATTAAGATGCTATTTTCAGACAGTTGCGCGAAACTTTTTCTCCGAAAATTTGTGAACCCAACCAGAGACCAGCTGACAGGTTTAATTTTTCTTTGCCCAAAAAGCTCCTGATTTTTTTTTTCTTTTTACTTTTTCTTTTTTTGTGAACAAGTTTTAAAACTAACTGCTGAGACCATTTTTTTTTAATTTTAGAGAAAAATAAATAAATAACACAAAGTGATGTTACCCAAGCAAGGCCTTCTAATAAAGGAGTGGTCCCCTCACCCATCCCTCCCTACCTGTGCAAGTCCTGCTCACATCAGTTTCCTTCCATCCAATTAGGCGACCTGGGAGACCCAGCCAGTACCGCCCAGACGGACTTCGGAGTGGTGATGGGGTACCTCCAAGAAGCTTACAGGATGGAACCAGGGAAGGTTTTGGACACTCCACATCACTCAAAGTTCCACTGGCTCGATCCTTGCAGATTAGTGAAGAACTACTGAGCAGAAACCAATTGTCTACAGCTGCCAGCCTTGGGCCATCTGGATTACAGAATCATGGACAACATTTAATATTATCCAGGGAAGCCTCTTGGGCAAAACCACATTACGAGTTCAACCTCAGCCGTATGAAGTTCAGGGGAAATGGTGCACTCAGCAACATCAGTGACCTTCCTTTTCTTGCAGAAAATTCTGCCTTTCCAAAAATGGCACTTCAAGCAAAACAAGATGGAAAAAAGGATGTGAGCCATTCATCTCCTGTAGATTTAAAGATACCACAAGTTAGAGGAATGGATCTTTCTTGGGAGTCTCGCACTGGTGATCAATACAGCTATAGCTCTTTGGTAATGGGTTCACAAACGGAGAGCGCGCTTAGTAAAAAATTAAGGGCTATTCTTCCAAAACAAAATAGAAAAAGCATGTTAGATGCTGGACCCGATTCTTGGGGCTCAGATGCTGAGCAGTCTACCTCTGGACAGCCATATCCCACATCGGATCAAGAAGGAGACCCTGGCTCCAAGCAGCCTCGAAAGAAAAGAGGGCGTTACAGACAGTACAACAGTGAGATACTGGAGGAAGCAATCTCAGTGGTTATGAGTGGAAAAATGAGTGTTTCCAAAGCTCAGAGTATTTATGGGATTCCCCACAGTACACTGGAGTACAAAGTAAAGGAGAGGCTGGGCACTTTGAAAAACCCTCCAAAGAAAAAGATGAAATTAATGAGGTCGGAGGGGCCAGATGTTTCTGTAAAGATTGAATTAGATCCCCAGGGAGAGGCAGCACAAAGTGCAAATGAATCAAAAAACGAGTAGGAATACTGTAGAGTGCCAATTACTGTACAAACTGGGTGAGCACTACTGCATCATTGTTCAGCTGTCATTGCTTGCACCTAACTTCATTTACTGCGACACTTGTTTCTTTGCAGATTTTGCATTGACTTGTGTGTACAGAGGTGAAAGGTGCATTCTGAATGTTGCATATTTTAAATTTTTCATGTGCAGTATGGCTCGGAATATTGTTTGGCCTTTTGCATGTTTCTCTACAAAAGAGAATTGAGTTACCTCACAGAGAACAGATACATGGAAGTGGACTCCTTGCCTGTAGAGCCTGCATGCTTTTCTTTCCTTCTGTTTTTTCTTAAGTTATATTTCTTTTTACTTTTAAAAAAAGAAGAGGAAAAAAGCCCCCTTTTAGAAACCACGTCTGTCATACTGGGAGCTTTATCATTGCAAATTGAAAAGCCATCTTGTAAAATTATTCATTTTTCTTCTACAATTCAACTAATTGAAGGATTAAACTAAAGAAAAAACTAAGAACAACAATGAACCTTTGAATTTGAGATATTTGGTTATTCAGTGATAATTATTTGGGTCATTTATAGTTATATTTTATAATTTTCTTCTCACTCTTAAATTTACTTAACAAATTAGCAAGCTAGTCAGTGCTCACCCAGAGGGGAAGGAGGTGGAAAATGTGCACGCACTACCTTCAGAAATGCTTCAGTTAATTACTTTAAACACTACCTTTGCTGTAATTTCATTTGAGATTTTCTAAGGGTACAATTTGGTCTCACCAACAAGTGAGGATATAGCCTTATCTCAAGGAGGACGAGCTCCTTTCTTACTCAGGAGCAGTCAGGGTACATTACATAAAACAATGGAGGATGCTTCATTTTAGCAAACCAATTTTTTTGTATTCTTCAATCCTTTTACAGAATTGATGGTGTGCTAACGACTTAGTATCATTGCAGCAACTAGTTTAAGATACTCGAGATCTGTTTATTGGGGATGGGAGAAATAGGGAAAGAAATGTGTAATAAGTAATTATGATATTGCGAAAATGATACTTAGATTTTACAGCCTCAGTAGTCTGCCCAATATCCACGTTAATAAAGGATCCATGTATGTGGTGAGAGAAAAAAAAACACAACACCAGGGTAACCTGATATGATTTAGGTGGAATATCAGTTCTAACAATAATTCAATCAGGAATCAAGCTCATGGGAATTTCTTTTTCTTTTAAACTAATCCAAATACTAGTACAAGGGTGGGAAAGGTGGTTTTTTTAGTGTTTATTTAATTTTGTTGATTTGGTTTTTTTTTTCCTTTTTTTGGCATCCTATATAATATCCCCTTCTTTTTCTGATAATTAACTGATGTTCATGGTTGTTGAGCACACAATTCAGGATCATGTTTGTATAAGCACTCCTTGAAGAACATCTAAGCTTTTTTTTGAGATGGGCTTTTAAAATTGCAGTTATTAAATTCGGAAAGTTTATTTTCTACAGTTTTTGCAAAAATAACAGATAAGTAAAGCCCATGGAATTTAATTCTGCATTGTGACCAAATTAAAATTACTATTTGTGCAAAACAAAATCCACACCACATATACCCTACATACTGATCTGCTGAGAAAGGTGGTCACAGCCTTCTAAATGCTTAACCAAAAACAAACAAACAAAAATCATTGGAATTTTAATGTAAAATAAAGTCAAACTTGGAGTGTTCGTTAGATTGACATTGATAATTTCAGATGGATACTAACAATTTGAAGAGAAGGAGGTCCAGATATTCCCAAGGCATAAGTTCTTGCCTGGAAACTTTGGAGCAATTAATTAAATTAGGATAAGGATAGTTTTCCCTCAGCAACCTGTGTGTTCAAAGGTTAGGCACACCATTGCTGTTAGTAAACGTGAACTGCTCATTCTTGACATGGCCTGGGTGTGGTGGGTTCCTCTTTTGATTTGGTGGTTTTGTGCAGTTTAATCAGTGGATGACTGAGCCTGTTTCCTCTTAGCTTTCTAGTCTTCTCAACATAAAAAGCAGTTTGGGTTTGGTAGCAGTGTATGACTGCGATATTTTCTCGGCTAGCTGGAAGTTGCAATAAAAAATACATTATGAAATGTGTGGTTTTCATCTGCAGTTGAAGGAAGTTGTAGAAAGTTTGCTGAAAGCAAAGGCCTAAGCTTATGAAGGAACACCTCCTTTGTTCCACACTCAAGGATTTGTTAGCACACAATTAATTGCAGCTCCAGTGCCTTTTTGCATAATGTTGGGGTATTCGGTAGCCCAAGATTGCTGCAAAAAGGTCCTTTGAGAAATTAATTTGTGCTTGCTTTTATCTCCTCTCAGAAAGATATCGCTTAAAGGCCCATTTAAAAATCTGGCCCTAAAAGTTCAACTTTTGTAGAGTTTTACTGTTCAGAGAGGTTTAATCCTATGTGGTAGTCTATATAAGTGATGTATGAGTTGAGTTATGTAAATTTTGTCATTGTAGTGTACATGGAGTGATCATTCTACTAACATAAATATTTTCTATGTGTGTTTCAGTGGATGACAATCGAGCAGCAGAAGAATGGTGTGCCTACCCTTTAATGCTGCAGTTTAAATAAGAGAACTTGTATTGTGTCATTTCAGATTGTAGGCTGAGAGTTGTAAATAGTGAAAATTTGAGTACTTCTATTATTTGTTTTGGTTAGAAAGTGAATTTTAAAAACAAACCAAACTCTAAACTTTCTCAGATTAAAAGTCCTGAGACCTGAAGATTGTAATATTCATGTCTGTGAAGCTTTTAAACATTACACTTGAGATCAGTCATGACTTGATATTCAGGTAAATTTTCTTTTCCAAGAAGCTTTTGAATAAGCATATTTCCTCCAAAGGTCTCTCTCTCTCTCTCTTTTTTTTTTTTGAGTGTAGATTATTTTAAAGCACTAATTGCATTACATTGGTAACTGCAATATAAAATAGCCATTATTGTTTTGTGAAGCATGGTTGAAATTAGATAGTGGTCCCTTTTAAATTTCATGAGCCTCTCAAAAAAAAAAAAAAACTTAAAAAAAAAAACAAAAAGCTGCTGAATATTTCAAAAGATATATATTTTACCTTATTGTAGGTTTTGTAAAGTTAGTTTGTAATATTCAGGTGCACTTTTAATGTTAAATTTTGTGTTCAGAGTTCCATTATACCATGTGTTTCTCAGAGGTGGCTCATCACATGGCTGGCTGTCAGTCTTGGTGCCGCAGTGATTCCTTAATATTTGATTTCTCTCTTGATTTGCCACTGTTCGGTATTGGCACTTTCAGTGTAGATATTCTGGTTTGGGGATGTCTTCATAAATGTGTAATAGAGATTGGTCTATTCGCATGCTTAAGTTCTGCTAATCAGAGTTTTGTGTGGCCCAAACAACAGTTGACCATTTTTATGGTATGGGAAAGTGTAGTTCACGACTGTCTTTGTCACAAAAGCCTTTTTTCCTCACATTTTCCAGTAAGCAAAAGATGACATTACTCAAATTGTATAACATTATTTGAACTATTGATAGGAGATAATGTATTTAAAATAAATTTTTGCATTTTTGAAGAGAGAAACATTGATATATAGAGTAGATAAGCTATGGCACTATAAAATCAAAAACACTAAATAAATCTGTGGAAGAATATCTAGTTGGTATTTTTTTCTATAGCTTTCCCATTTCTGAGACAGCATAGTCATCAACCTTGACCATAATGTAGTGTATTATATTACTTTGCTCAGTAGGCTTACAAATGACTCTGAATTATGTTTGTGATGAGCTATATACTTTTTTCTGTTTCCCAAATACCATGAAGGACAAGGTCTCTCTTTCAGGAAAAATAATTTATATTTGTGTATAATACTTTTAATATTAAGTTTGTTGTTATTCTGAAGTTTAGATGTTGCTTGATAAACCTTTGCTGCAGCAGATCATGAATATGAGTAAGGCTTTGTGTGATAATAGGGGTCCTCATGTGAAGTTAATTACTGTTCAGTTCTGGTGAGCAAGCTCAGCAAGTGTGAAGTGTGTATTAGCTTTATTTGGTACACTTTTACTTTACAATATTGAAGTGCTTTTAGAACTCTGGTTATCTTATGTAAACCATTACCTCAACCAATTGGCATTTCTGTCCCCAACATTTTACCTTAGCTATAATGCGAGCTATATGGAATCAGATAGTAAAATGATAAAAGGCACAATGAGAAGTTTAGTTCCCAACTTTCTGGAGAGAACTCTAAATTAGACTAAAAATGACTACCTGTTAAGGCCCGTATCATAACTACCTTCTGTCATTAGGCAGTACATAGCAACCTTTGAGCTGCTGTGTGGTCTCCCCCTACCCCACGTAAGCACACAGTGCCAGGCCTGGTTCTAAGCCTTTGTGATTCTCTTACATCTCGTTGACCCATAATTGTGAAGCTTGGATTCATTTATTGTCATAAAACAAATTAATGAGTCAGCTCAATGTTAAAACCTGAAAATATTTTGAGTAGTTAACAGCACATGTGACAGATCAATGTCATTTTCTTCTAGATTTCATTTGAAACCACGTATTTTTTGCTTTTATAATTCTTCTTTGTTTACCTAAATGCCAGAGGTTGTTTTTGTATGAACTACTCTTTTCTATATATTCAGGTTGCTGTCACTGGTGATAGAATAGGGCAATAGACCAAATTGCTCCACTGAATGTTTTGTAGGAGATTTTAAAAGTTATGGGTTAAACTTTGACCTTCATGAAGATATCAAAGATTATTTTCCTTATTTACCTTTCTATTAGAATTAGGTCTTCATTAATCCTATGGTCAGGCCAGTATTATTAAACCTGATGGCTTTAGCAAAACAGCTCATTTAGGAAACTATTACGCTATATAGGGATTTTTAAAAAGCTAATTGCTTTCAAAATCTACTGAAAAGGAAAAAAAAAGTATAATTGTGGTACAAGGAATACAGACCTCCAGACTCTTTCTTCTTAGTTTATTTTGGATTAATTCTGTCCTGGAGACTTGAATAGGATTTGTGAACACAGTGACTGAAGGGAAAATAGAGGAAATTCTTTGCATATCCTCTTTTATTCCCAAGTAATCTTTCAGCCACCCTTTAAAGAAACAGACATTAGACCTGTAGCATAACACTGTAGCTGTATGTCCTAAGTGTTATGAAGGAGATTTGGTGGGGCAGGGTGGAGTAGGACGGGAAAGCATGTAGATTTTTGAGAAGAGGCTAAAGATTCTGCCCTATAATACTAAAAATGAGTCACAAGATAATGTAGTAAAGTTGGGCCATCTTCATTTGATAGAAAAATCTTTTAGGTTGTTTGAAAATGAGAATCAAGGCTAATTAATGTTGAGTTAACAAACAGTAAAATATGTGTTAATTCTGCAACTATTTGGGGGGTAATTTTAAGGTTTCCAGTTCATTTAGAGCTGTCTGTATCAATAAAAGCTGAAAAGCAAGCACTTTTAGTTAATCATAGATTTTTGGATGTAGCAAATACTATATTTAATCTTTATTGTTTGAATGTGGAAATGAACTCTTTACCCCATCTTGAACTGTCATTGTACAAGTTTAAGATGATCTTTTCAACACTGGAAATAACCCTACACACATACCAAAAAAATCTAAAGCAGTAAGACATATTTGAAGATCCATACCTCTTAAACTTTTTAGATTTGTCTTGGGAAAGAATTTATGAACCTGTAACCAGTATTAGTGCAGTCTTGGGTTCCTTGTTCTGCATAATTGCACCCTTTCTCAGGTATGTCCTGAAAACATAAATTTTAAAATAATCTCTTTAGAGATTAGATTCTCAGTGGATAGTGTGTAAGGGGACTGGGGGTGGGGGGCTGGGGGTAGTTGGACACAGGACACTGACACAGTAGAGCAGGGATTTTTAACAGTCAATAGCCAAATAGAATTTCAATCTAGAATATTTTTACCCCCTCAGAATGAGTGAAACAACTTCTATTATTTGATATACCTGGTGCTACACTCCTAAAAGTCTTTTCTTTCATCCAGGTGACTCTTTTTTTTTTTTTTTTCCTGCTTGGTGGAAGGGTATATAGTAAACTTTACTGTCACTAGGAAAGCACTTGTCCAAAATGTTTAAAGTACTAGAAAAGGGATAATTCAGCACTTTTTCTGTTACAACACTAAAGTCTTAATTTATCTTCAGAGTCTTAGGTACTGTAAGTTTTAGGATGATTATTTAAAAATATAAAACATACTTCATAATATGGGGTCAGATCACATTTATATAAATAATTCTTATTTTAAAAAAAGACAATATCATTTTGTACCTTTCTAGCAGTTCCAAGTGATTGCCTCATTTTCTCCATTTCATTAAGCATTTCAGACTTAAGAATTTGGGATTTGAGAGAAGGTGAGGGGGAAAATTCCCCAAAATGAAAAATTGTGTCAGACCATTTTAGAAAAATAAATCACTAGGAAAATGGGTAGGGATTCTCTCCCCCTTTAAGTCTTCAGGGAATGAGCAGTATTTAGAATCTTTGGCTGAAATTCAAGCCTTTTTACTGTGTAAATTTTTAATATTAATTCACTGACATGCTTTTTACACCAGAGGACTGAAAATGGATCTTAATGTTTTTAAGTTGTGGAAGGGTATATTTCTAAAATGAGGGGGGGATAATTAACTAGGTTAGTATTACCAGCATTAGTAAGTTTAAGGAATTTTAGTATGTAATAGCAAAGTGTTTGATTAAAAGTCTAATCCTATATTGTTAGTCAAAATTAGTTACATTCTGATATAGGAAAGATATAGTCATTGGATATTGATATGCTGTGCTGTCAGAAAACCAGACTAAGATAGAAACCTTTATCTGACTCCCACATGTTGCTTGTTCTGATGGGATGTATACTTTATAGCAGTTTATTGCTGCTTTGAAAAAAAATGTATAAACTATACATTTGGAGTATTTGCATATAATTCTTTATAACCTCCCCTTTGAACTGTCAGACATTGGTATTTTATCAGTCCACACTGTTCAATAAAACTAATGTTCTTAGGAATCCAACTTGTACACACTGTTTTAAAACCCTCAGGGACAGTTTACACACTCTTCTCACTCAATTCAGGTACTTTGATGCTATTCTTAAACCTAACAGTGACTTGTATTTTTCTGTTTTGCTTTTATTTTGACGTGCTGGTAGCACATCTTTGATGAATGTCAACTTAAAAACTCAGTTCAGGTATCCAGGTATAACTCAGCCAAACAGATTTTAAAGCTGCATATAACTCTCCAGCACACGGTGCCTCACACTCTTATAGTGGCATTCTATATATTCAGTTATTACTACTGAGCAGATAATATGGGGGTTCCTGTTAACAGTGTATTTTTTAAAAAATGTGCGTAAGTGTATAGCCAGCACACCTCACCTGCCCACCCACACCCACCCACCCACATACACACATACACACACACACACACACAGTTAAAACTATATATTTTTAAATGCCACTAATAGCCAGCACAATGAAAACAAAAGACATTCCTAGCTGCTTCTGTAAACTTTAACAGATGCAGTTCCTCTTTGATGTGGCTCTTGCTTCTTCACCATAACTACTACTAAATTCAAGCACTGGTCCTTGGGTGTCTGACCTCTACATTCTAGTTTATGCAATGTCTTTAGAGAATTTTGTGCACTGGCCACTGTGATGGAACCATTGGGCCAGAAGTGCTTTGAGTTTATCAGTAGTGATTCTGCCAAAGTTGGTGTTGTAACATGAGTATGTAAAATGTCAAAAAATTAGCAGAGGTCTAGGTCTGCATATCAGCAGATAATTTTATCATTGTATTTTGTAGCCTTGAAGTCCTCAGTGACAGGTTTCTTCTGATGTGAAGTTCTAATTCCAGTGTTTTGGTCCTTCGCATCTTTGTTAAAACTTGTCTCTTAAAAACTTTTGTTTTCTACAGTACTATCTGTGGTTAACAAGATAGATTATTCCTCTGCTCTAATATTTGATATCTTACATTTAAAAGAAATTCTCTCCATATATAAAGCCCCATAGCCTTTGGAGATACAG